CATAATTAATTTAAAAATTATATGAAAAACATAAACATTGATTATATAAGATTTGGCTATTTTTTTTATTAAATGCATGCTTTATTTTTCCGCTATGTTATGCTTTTAATTTCATGACTAATTTCATGTTTGAGTATGAAGTGGAATCCTAGCACAATAAGCTTCATACCTTTCGAAGTTGATGCCTTTTCACCTTTGTCTTTCTTAAAAAATTTTCTTTTCGTATTTTTACTTTTTTTAGGAGAGATAAGATTAACTGAAGGTTTCTCCTTCGCAATGGTTTTCTTAGCCTGTGTGAGCATATTCAATAAGCTTGATATAGTTGCCTCAATCTTGTTCGTGTTGAAGTTCAACACAAACTGTGAATAGCTTTCTGGCAATGAAAAGAGTACAAGATATATACTTAATTAATGATCCATAACCCAACTTAACTGCTTATGTCGAGTGATATATCCTATCATCTTAAGCACATGAGGCCTTACATCTTATATTGAAACAATTTTTATAAAATGTCAAATCTCTCTGTATGACTTTCCTTATCGAACATTTCTCTAAGGTTTAGAATAATATCTAAGGCATTCATAGTTTCATGTTGCTTTTGAAGCTTTAGAGCCATACAAGTCAACATCACACATGTGACTTGATCGAGATCATCCATATAAACTTTATAGGCCTCATTTTCCTCATTTATAGCAACATCATTAGGCTCCTAAGGAACAGGATCATAAGACATAAGCCTTTTTCTCTTATTTTCAAGACAATCTTGATATTACGAAACCAATCAAAGAAAGTTGGACCTGTCAATTTGTTTACATCAATAATGCTTCTAAGAGACAAATTGCTCAACATCATCAATATATATCCTATATAAACCAACGTATATATAAAACCTAGTCATTAACGCAAATTATGTAATTATAAAGACAAGGTTTTAGAATCTTATATGATTATTTTCAATATGTTATCAAAATAATAACCTTTTTATAATATTTGAAAAAATTTAACCTTAAACTTCTTATTGAGCTAGAATCCTTTTCATCCCACCATAACCTTGAGTGAATCAACATGCCATAATGAACCTAATAGGTAGGTAACTTAGCTTACCAATTGTATCTTATACAACTCCTAGATCAATTAGGTAACAACTTCTTGTATAAATGCATCATATACATCATGCCTAACTATGCCTCTAATACTATGCAATCATGTGTGACACATCTGAATCACACAATACTAGTTGAGTAAGACTCACCAATAACTCAAACGTACTCATGTAATAGTTTAGTCTTGAGTGACTCAACAAGCCTCTAATTAAAAGAGCAACCTGGTTATCATTACTAGAAAATTAGGCAATTGTGACGATAAATTTTCTATTATTATTTTCTGTCATAGATAACGATTTGTTGCAACAGAATTGTTATGGTTTTGTGACATAATTAATGATAATTTGTTTTTAAGAATTTGTGATAGATTTAGTGACGGATTCATGATAGAATTGTGACAGTATTTTAAATATTTCACTAAATTCATTACAAGTAATTTGGGTGCAAAATTTTTTTCTTGGTGCCAATATTAGTGACAAAATTTTATGACTGAAACCATTACAATATTAGGATTCCTTGTTTGGTGACAAAATTAGTAACAGAATTGTGATGGAAATTTAATTCTAGCAGCTCAAGTACATAACATTCCCCAATTTAAGTATAGTTACAGATTATTGTAACTGAATAATCTGTCACAAGGATTAGTTTAATTTAATATTATATTTTTGTGACAAAAATAGTAACGAATTTGTTACAATTAATTTGGAGGGAAAAAGAGGCACCTTGTTAAATTAAAAATAAAATTGGTCGTCACAAGTCTGTCACTGAAAATCTATTAAGGTTACTATCAATTTTATTTAAGTAATTAAAAAAATTATATATTTTCATTTGGATAAAATAAAAATATTTTATTTTAGTTTTTTGTGTGTACTATATATTTGAGTTTTTATAAATATTTAAAATTTGTAATATATATATATAAACTTGTATTAATTAATATGAAATTACATGTAATTATATATTTTAAATGATATAAATTATATGTTAATATTAATATATGGTATTAAATATGACAACCTCAAAAAACTCAAAACCAGAATAAATGATATATTATATAAACAAGAAATAATAATATTATATATTTTGTTTGGAATAATTAATATATTAATATTACTAAATATATAAAAATAATTTTATAAAATTAGAAAAGTATAATATATATATTATAGAGTATTTATTATATATACCAACTGTGTAACATATGGAACTATAATATTAATTTGATATACTATATAATATTAATAAGTAACTTAATTATAGATATTGATATATAATTAAATAAATTATATTTTTGAAAATAATATATTTAATTAATAATAAATCATAAAAAATATATTATATATCCTTAGATACGACATTTATATTTTTATTCAATTACATCCTTATGAACTTAATTAATTTTTTAATTTTATTTTGGTTTATTTCAATTAAGTCTAATTTAATTGATTATCCTTATTTAATCTCAATCATGTCATTTAATATGTGTTATCTATTAGGCTTCTAACATGTTAATAATAAATATAAAATAATAATGAAAAACCAATATGACAATTGATTTATATTTATAGATCTTGAGCAATATCTAACAATACATTATGACTACCCAAATGTTAGAGAGTTAATTAAAGAATTTGACAAAATCCTTCAGTGATAAGCTCCTCAATGTAATATAATCTTTTCATGAAATATTTCAGATATGTCATAAAGAATGACTCAATGTTTACTTATGACGTTACATATTAGTTCTCATAATTCATGACTAACTTTATGAATTTAGGAAATTAACTTTCCTCAAATTCATCATACTTTGGCCAAAAACTTTAAACAAATTAATCAAGAATTAAGAACAAGTGAGACACATCCTCTCATATCACTTGCGGTGATAAATCCTCTCTTGATTACTCATCCACTTTTGCATGTTTCATGACATATACAAAAACACCCTATTTAGACATCTGGTCACCTCCAGACCTGTAAAGATGAAATTAAAGTATGTAATTCTCTATATAAGATAATCTGGTATCTCAAGTTTGAGGATTAGTTATATGATTATCAAATGAAAACATATTCCATAAACACATGAATGAATACCAAATAGAGTTTTAATAATGAGTCGTGTTCAGTGAACTTGTTTTCTAATAAGCACCCACACGCCATCCTTAAGTATCCCATATACTTCAATTTATGAGATCGATTATTTATTTCTTAAGTAAAGAGGTTTAACATGTACCAATTTTTTAGCATTGTCGATGCTTTATCTTTACAATACAACAATCAAGAACAATTTTAAGAACACGGCTTTGATGTATAGTGATCTCATAATTGTAAAAACTTTACAATTCTCTTGCAAAGCCTTTATATTCTATAGACTTCATATAATTAATACTTAATAACTCGTTATTATTGTATTAACATGAAGGAAAACCTCTATCAAATATAGTTATGCGAGTAAGTATGCATTAAACAACAATTTATATTCCTTGATGAATCTAGTTGACTTTAGGACATATACCAACAAGAATTACTGCATTACATTGTAATTAATGATTGTAAATCTAGAGAATAAACATCTAACATCTAGTTTTTCTATCATTCTATCCACAAAATTTGTTTTGTTTTTGGAATAAAAGTTGTTCATAAAGCCTCCACGTGAAATAATTATCTTCACTTTTACTGAAAAGGTGCGTTACAAAAATCAAGCATAGATGATCAAGCAAATGCAAGTAGTATGGAGAAGTGACATTAATGTTCTTACTTGATTAACATTGGCACTCGCCACCAATTCTTCAATATTCTTACCTTTGTCATTGCTCGCATCATCTTCTGCCATTTAAAAAAATCCAGATTTCGTAATTTTACTCTTCATTAACAAGATGAAGGCATTTATACATATAAGGCTTATATGGAGTGCAAGTAAATAGCAAACAAGGAAGTATTCTAATCTTAAATTTTCTTGCAAGTCAAGAACAAGGTTAATAAGAAAAGATTACGTAAGAGAATAATCCCCATAATTGTGTGTATAAGAATGAAAATAAAAGATTCACCAATAGCCTTCTTCACCATTATCACATTGGAGAACCACTCGGGATATTGGACCTCCCAGATGTATTCAGCTGGGCACAACTTATTGACATCAACTTTGATAGCTTGGATAATTTGGTCTAGTGCATATCTCCTCTACTTTTTGTTTTATCAGTTTAGCTAAGGGTGTACGTTCAAGTGTTAGGCAATGACAAATGGATGTATGCTTGGCATGTCTGTTACTGATTAGGTGAATACTTTAGCATTACATTGCTAGAATAAACGATTGTGTGCCTGATCATTTGAGAACCAATGTAGGTGGTTTTCTTATTATCTCCCTCATGGTTTGTTCAACTAGCTTTAACTTACTGAGTTTGGTTTTCATCTTCATTATCCAAGCTTTCTGGGGTTAAATTTTGTCAAATTGCTATGTACCACATTAAAACTTCACTGACATTCTACCCCCTACAGTGGTTTTCCTGGTTTCCGTGTTTGGAAGATTATTTAGCAGGTTAAGACAATTGAAGAGAAAGCAAGTGACATAGCCTGGCAATTGCTTGGTTGGTTTGGATGTATCCAATACCCGTGAGAGTTGGGAACTTTATGGCGAGACAATAGATGGCAATGACCATGCTGGTCTATTTCATTAGTAGGCAACCAAATATAGCATTATACGTCGAGGGTTGGTCTATTACCATGAAATCAACTATGAGGCTAAAAGTGTGTTTTCTTGGCCTATGGTGACTGGTAGACTGATGATACCCTTGACTGAGATGGTTGGTTGGCAAACCTGTAGATTGGTTTGTAAGATTAGGGTTGTTTGGGCCATCACCCAATTTTAGAAACGCTTCATATGTAAGTAGTTCAACTACACTTCTCTCGTCTACTAGGATACATTCTACTTGGAAGTTCCTAATCAAGGTTCTGATTAGAACTGTATCTCTCAATTCAGTGTAAAAACTCTTAAGCAATGCAGAGCAATGGACACCACAATTTTAAAAGAGGAGCACCAAGTCCAGAGCTAGATCCTGTTTAGTTAAGGAGAAGTTGAGATAGAGAGGAAATATCTGCCTGCGAACCTTGGAGATAGATGATTCAGATGCAATTTGACAGATCTGCAATCAGTGTCAAACATTGATATAAATCTCATCTCCTACCAAATGCTCTCAAATCTATGAGTACAAAACTTGTTCTTATTCCAGTATCTTACCACCCAAAGGCAAGATTACAGAATCACTCAGTGTGTAAGCTGTTGTATCACTTGATCCATAACTTCATCAAATGGACCATTTTGCCAGAAAAATCAAACAAACAAGGTGCATCGTATCGTTTCTTAAACAGATCTTGACTTTAGTTGTCATAATCAGATGAACATGACAAGGAATGCTTCGGGTTAGCAGGACCAAATAGCAACTCCACGCAGAAGGCAGGGCCACATATTGATCTACCTGTGCTCCCAACTTTGTCCAAATCCCGGATAGTAAACTGGCAAAGTTAAAATATAAAGTAAATTTAAATATGCAGTAAAATTTTAATCTTGGTATCCTTCATAAAACTGAGATATTTTAAATTGTCCATATCTCTCATTATTATATGGTATATATGACTGACAGGCAATTCTATTCTTTTCTTTTTGTCTCCTAAGAGTAGGGAAGCATATTAAGAAACAAAGAAAACCTTTAGAGGAAACCATAAACATACCTGTAACAAGCTATTTTTTATGAAGGCTGTGTTGAAACAAGCATAAAAAAGGCGACCTCCAATCATCTTTTGATAGAATATGACTCGCACATCTCCGCTAACCTGTCCAACTTAGTTAATTTTCATGCCTTTGGTACTAAAGGGTAAAAAGAACATAAATTTGAAGGCATGCAAGACTTTTTGAGCAAATTTAGATCCTCAACATGTTTCCAGACAATACACCATTTCATTAAGCATATGTATGTAAGTAATTCCAAAGAACTCCCCATACAGACTAGAGGTATAGTTTCCTTTTAATTTAATCTAAAAAATATGGTTAAACCCAACTGCTGAATAATTACTCTAATGTTGATAGTAGTCCTGAATACTTTGCTAGACTCTTGACCAAAATTTTCTGCTGCAAGCCAAAATACTCAGCATCCGCAACTCTGAATTTGACATAACACATCATAGCAAAGCAGACATATGAATCCAGGTGCAAGCATTACAAGCAACTTACTTGCACAGGTTTACTGAAATGATAGTCAAGACAGGTCTTCTGGTATAACACAGGACTTTCTGTGTCCATTTGGACTACGACACGAGGTTCTTCTGATTCTGATATATTCCCTTCTTCTCCACCTTCAATAAATGACAAGAAGTACCGAGGACTGCTGTTCGCCTCATATCCTTTATTGATTTCTCTACAGCAACTCTTGGCAACTTCGACAGGTGGACGGTACATCTGATTAGAAATCTGTGCAGTAAGGGTGGTAATATCTTGTGAGAAAATAAAGAAGAAAAGATGGCTTAGAATAGAGATAAACTTCATATTACTCAGGGAACAGTTAAGAATGGCAGTACTAGTCCAAGGTACATGCCTGCAACATCAGAAGTAAACAAATGAAAAACATTCCAAGGGATAAAGAATTGCGTTTTGGAAAACTTTAGATGACCTGAGTCTGTTTCAAAATTTAACAACTACTAATGCATGACATTACCAATTGATAAGGTTAGATGCTAAGTTCTAAAACTAGCATGTCAACCTACATTCACTTAACCACTAACTTTTTGCAGGCAAGAAGAAGTATTAACATCTGGAGTGACTATTGACCAGGGCCCAATGCAATCTCACTGCAAATTCGAGCCGATGAATGATGGGATTTTAGGTTGAAATGGGATTAATTTTAGTTTTCCCTTGATCATATATAAGATTTTCTAGTAAACCCTAGAAATTTGGTTAAGGATATGTGAAACCAAGCTCAGTTGATATTATGAATCTTTAGTTGTTTGGAATTCACAACTTGACTTAGTGGCATGAATGGAGTAACCTCTTGGAGCTCTGAGACCACAAAGAAGACAGAGGTTGTGTTAATGGTGTCATAAAGACGAATTCGTCGCAATTCTCTACTGCATGGTGGAGGCAAGTTGACATCTGGAAGTCCATTGCTAACTCCCCTTGGAAATGAAAGTATATTTTCCCAGTACCCCACATAACGACGTTGGCTTGGTATAGAGACCTATCAGAAGAAGTGCAGAAAGTTAAAACAGCATGAATGCATGATAGAACATTCTTTAAAGCACATTTATATACTGAAAGATGTTTACAAGGATGTGAATTCTTTGAAAGAGTATTTGGAGTTACATCATGTTTGTAGCTTGGATAGGTCCCTGCCTCAATTTTGTTTGAAAACTCCAAAGAGCATATGTGCCTAAAACTTGGCCTGGCATGGCATTCCTTCTACATTAATTTCTTTCATGTTCTTGATTGTAGATGGTTTATTTCTTGTTAATTTTCATCACTGTATACTGTTCCATCAAATTCAGCTATCTATAAGTGCAATCAATCAATTTTAATGAAGCATATTAGGTCAATCACAAAGCTTCCTCATAGTTTGTCTTTTTAGTGCAACCATCAACTTTGTAGGAATATTAATCAGTTCTAAATGTCATCAGTTTTTTCTATTAGTATCTTGTTTATCAGAACAATAAGTAGATACATAGATTGATATACAGATAGGAGATTGGGCAAATGAAGCTTTCCTTAGGTTTATGTAAAGGCAAATTACAGAAAAGGACCACTTTGGCTACTAATATCATGGTGATTCTATGTATCCTTACATAAACCCGCCATCAGAACCTCAAATAGTAAGAAATTATTGCACTAGATTTTTCCATAATAAACCATGTGCTTATATATGAATCCCTTTATACTTCAAATAACATTGAATGAGTTCTTCAACTGAGAACTCCATGAATAGTATTATCTGTTTCGTTTTTAAAGAAAGCATATCTTTTTGACTGATCAAGTTCATTAAAATGTTTCGACTAGTCACAATGTTCTGCAGTTTCAATTCTGTCTGGCAGTTAAATCTTCAATAAATGTAATTATATATATTTGATTAGTAATTATCATTTTCATTAAATAAAACAAAACATCAACTAACTCATACAACATACTTCATCATCTATTAACCATTGAAATTGCATCTAAAGATTCTCTTGCTATACCTAATACTACTTACTCCTTCATTGTTGGTAGTCCGTTTTTGGGCATACAGGTGAAGAGCTTCCTCTGCTAACATGCCTGTGAAAACAAGGTAGGCACACACCATTAATCCTGTTCGACCTTTGCCAGCCTGCAAGTTCAGGTGAAAGACACCGAAGTTGAGAACATTATCTAATCGAATAAAGAAAAATAATTACCACTGCAATGATCATTTTTAGATTACTAAACATCTAAAAAGAAACAATTTTGTATACATTTAAAACAGCAATCATTCTAATCTCTGGTGCTTGGTGACCACTAAAATTGCAAGAAATATTAATACAAAGACATATAAATGCAATGGCATCTGTATTTCCACTGTATCTATAATGAAATTACTGAAAATCATAAAGACTATTAATAAATCAAAAAAAGCAAAGAGATTAGATGTCAAAGCTAGTTCGGTATAAACCAATAACCACATAGCCCGGTGGTATCTTCTTTTGTAAAGAAGTTTGAGGTCTTGGATTTGAGTTATGGGTTCGTGGAATGTGAGGGGTGTAAAAGGGGTGAGGGCATGTTGAAGAGAAACAAAGAGAAAAGAAAGATGCTTGCCACTAATACCATGCAATGTATGACTGCAATATTTTTTGGGTCATCTGATAGCCATGAATGCACACTCTCACAGAACAACTTCATCATTTCGAGGGATGGAACGTGATTGTCATCAAAAGGAAACTTCTCCACACGGCCATGAAAATGCAATGGATCATAGTCTTCTTCTATACACAAATTGTAGATCTGCGAAATATTGTCAAAGAAATATTAGTTTTTGCTGAAATTTTGAGGGAAAGTTTGTAAAAGGATAGCCAAGAATTAGTTTTCAAAGAAATCACCAAAGAAGATGTATAATCAGTAAACCAATATTCATCGTGAAATCTATGTCGTCTATGTCAGTAAGAATGCAAACCATAACGACTTAATGGAGCCTTATTCTCAGCTTAAGTACTAGTTCATTTTAGACAGGGCAATATCCTCCATTAAAAATTAGAAAATAAAAAAGAATGTATTTTCCAAAAAGAATAAAACTGTATCAAACTAAATATTAAATCAATTACTATTAGGCTGAGCTGCAGCAGAACTTTGCAACCATTCATCAATCAACTACTCTGTACTTTCCTACTACTAGAGTAACCTAGGACAGGAAGATAATGGCTGCAAATTCATGCTTCTGATACTCGTAGAGTCAGAGATGCAATGAAATGGAAAAGGGATAACATAAATAAGACCACAAATTAATTGAAAAGATTAAAGTATAGGAAAACATGATTTTCACATTCAAAATACATACTTCACCTTATAATGCCCCTGGTGTCTCATTTCTAGCACAGACTTCACCTGCCAGAGAGGATTACGGTACATTGCTCGCATACGTTCAGCAGGAAATGACATTGCTAATAGACGATCTGTTATGTATGACATGTCCAGATCATAACCACCAACAACCATTCGCCTTCTTTTCTTGGACACCAGGTTCCGAATAAAAGAACTTGCTGTAAGATAAGCGAGCATTCTATGCTGGAGGAGAAGAGTGGCATTTCCATTCTTTCCTGGCACTGGCCTTGCAAATTTCAACCCCATTTGGCTAATACCTGTGACAACTTATGAATGCCAAGGTACCTACTAAACAATAAACAAGTCCGAAAAGAACTGCATAAATTTTATGGACTTGGAGACCAATAAAATGCACAAAATTGAATCTGCTATTTTTGAAAAAAAATCAAATGAATAAACATATTTCTGCTCACATATGATTGAAGACCTACTTTTTTAAAAAAAAAAATTATTTTCTGAAGATATGAAAATCTAGGTAAATAACAAATTAAAATGTCAGACCTACAAACATGTTGGGATGGTCAAGGTGCTTTGCATCATTCCAATGACTTCAGTATAATGGCATAGGTTATAAAACAAAATATTTTTCTTTCCCTTTTTAGAATTTGATGAACATAATTAAACTTTTTTCCCTTAAATTTTCCTTTCTGAGCAGAATGCTTAGCACTCCATATCAAAAGACTTGAAGGTCAGAGAATTTGCCTCCCGAAATCATTCATCTTTTGAATGACAATCAACAATTTTGATGATTTTCTTTTTGACTGCCAGAGGAGAAACAAGGAATTGAAATATGATCATGGAGCTATAAATTCAATTGTTCCTAGTTTCCATATGAACCAAACAAAGAACAAGCAGCTATTGTTAACTTTCTTAAAAGAGTTAAGGTGGAAGGCTCAAATCTCCCTTTCCCTCGAACTAGCAAAGAAATAAAGAAGAAACCAACAATGTACAAAGGAAAGGGTGGAAGAGAAACAGAATGTACCTTTGGGGTTGAACATCAAGTTCCCGATTCACTGACCAAAAAATTGGGAATGGATGCAATTCCTATGATTCCCAAATGAATATATTGAAAACCCTTTTCAAAGAATTTGGAAAACATAGAAAATGCTTTCATTCAAAAGGTGTAAGTGTCAGGGAGGCCAGGAAGGAATGATGATGATCATCTCCATTTTGTTTTAGTTACACCCCAGATGGAAAGAGAAATAGTAGTGGGATTATTTGGATATTCTATGCTAAATTTGCCTCCAACTCTCAGCCCCATATTTGGAGCAAAATGAGCTCTCTCTCTCTCTCTCTCTCTCATTCTTCCAGGCAATGTACATGTCAACCAAAACACAGTTATAGGAGGGATGACGAGACTTTCTTTAGTATTTTATTTTTTAGGATAACTGAAATTTGTACGACCAGTTTGGACGATGAAACTTCTCTGTCCTGCATTTTTCCTAGGTTGTTGTCCTGTGTTCAGTTGGGTTGATATTTAACTTACTAAATAATTGGATAGAAAATAGGATTCAAGTTTAACTTACTAAAAAATTGTTAGGACTATATTATAGCATAATGTAGAGGGGTTTTCCGTGAAATAAGAAGAGGTAGTGTTGCATATGACTAGAAAGAGATTGTATTAAAAGTGATGAGGCTCGAGTAGACCTCGAAGCAGCAAGTGCTGTGACAGGTGGTGGAAGAAGATATAGGAAGTAGGAAGGCAAGGATGTAGGAGGGAAGAGAGAGATTTAGAGAGAACAATGAGGGAGGATACAAGTGTAGACAGATAACATAGAGACGAGTGGGAATGTCCAAATTTTCCTAAAGGTCCCCATATGAATTGCCAAACTTCAGATACATAAACAAATGGTGCAATGAATTGATCTAATGGTACCTGATAAGGAATTAAAGTGTTTTTTTTATTAAAGTATTTTCATTATTTATTATATACTATAATTTCTTAGGAGATAATTTATTGATACTGAAAAGATAGTATATTAGTAATTAAAAATAAGCATCTGCATATATTTAAATATTTGATTCATTTATTAATACATTATTCTTCTTTTAAAGAAACAAGATTTGGATAATCAATTTTAATTGAATTTTTTACATTATTTTTTATATGAATTGAATTGAGTCGGCCGACTTTGGAATTTAAAGCAGATTAACAAATGTTTTTCATATCACGTCAACTTTTACTATATTTTACCTTGCAAACCATGTATAAGAGAATCTTTACCTTTCAATGAATCAGGTCAGGTCACCAAGTTCAATTTTGACTGCGCTAGAAAGATAAATCGTGTTGGATTAACTTGTCACCTCTACTTGCTGAATACCTGGTTTGAAGTTCACATTCCTATTACTGGTTTTAACCCAGGCTCAAAGTTTTACATATTGGCCACCTACAATATAAGGTCTTGCAGTCGGATGTTGTAAGAGACATTGAATTGAGGCTTGAGAGAGCTTACCGAAATGGTTTAGTTTATCAAAAGGGTTTATTATTATTTCCTGAAAAGTTAAGTTCCAATTCTCATATTATACAAAAAGTACAATGTCCCACGAATTTCCATGGTGATTATTCTGCCGAGAGAAACGAGGCTTTATTAGATGAGTACAGAATGACCAAAGCATTGCAGCAGCTGCTTTTATTCTAGGTGGTCATGTGGCCTGATTGACATGAACATTGCAGCATATTGTAGCAACCGGCGGTCACTGCTGTTTCCATTCTCTGTAACAGAAATCATTGGACCTCTAGTCCTGGTTCTGTAACGCCGCCAGGCAAGTTGTATATTCACAGCTGCCCATGTTCGCCAATTGGATGAATAGTATCTCGCTGTTCTTTTAAGCCTGTCATTGGCAAATTTGTACCTGAAGTGATCAGTGATGTATCTGAGATTATTTGCATCAAGACCAAATGCTTCAATTGACTCTACACAAACAAATGTTGCAGATGAGGCTGGAAGACGGTCTATAAATGGGCGACGAAGACACCAGGAGAGCAGCTCATCACCCAAAAAGCCTCCTGGCTCAATTATGCTTGTGGCTACCATGCCTTTGCTAAGGCTTTGGCTACGGTTTATGCGTCCACGAACTATAAACACCATTCTTTGCACAGGATCTCCTTCTCTAATTATCTGTTTCATGGGAACATATATTTAATAAGTTAAACAACCTTCTACACGCTTATAACAGGGTGAGAGATGAAGTATACTTCGTAAGCTTGCACCTTTTCGTCTTTAGAGAAGACAAGTGGCTTAACTCGATCGCAGATGTTGTCAAGAATAAGGTCATCCAAGTTGTGGAACAGAGGAACCTGAGAGAAAGGAATCGCAATTGAATTGGATTCATTGGAGAAAGCCTTAAACCAGTGTTGTTCAACTTCTAATATCCTATTACCATTTATAATAGTACCTTTTTGATGAGGTCAAGGCAAAGGTAGCGCTTAATGTCCCTCCGGAGACCTTCAGGCAAGTCTTTGATTAATTCCATTTCATCCTCTCCTCCCAAAGTTGCCCATTTCTGGCGTTCAAAGTGGCGAACTCTTTGCCTCAAACGGGATGGTAACTGCCTACGCTTCATCCACCATTCCATGTCACGACATCTCAGCTGCATTTTTCTCTTCTTTGCCATGACAGCATGCAAGAAAACCTTGATCATAAAGGATCCATCGTCAGTTAAGTTGGCTTTGGAAACTTGAATATATGTTCAGCACATAAAAAACAGTTCAGTGTCACCTGGATGTTTCCAATCAATAAAGTGAAGAGCAACAATCCAGCAAGCACAATGCATATACTGAACATCACTTCTAACCAGTGACTTGTTGGTTCAAGATCGTTTCCGAAGGTGCTGTTAATTGAAACATGGTGTGAGAAATGCCAGTAAATGGTCATTAACTTGCCAGCAGAAAACTTCAAGATCCAAGGCAGTTGTTATCAGGAGTTCAGATTAGAAATTAAAGCCAGGCTAAGCACACCCTGCCCTGAAATTCTGCTGTTTTACAAATGTCATGTTTAAGCAAACTGATATGAGAGGAGCAATTTCTTGAGTGTGTGTGATAACCTACTAGGATACTCAAATCTGGCCTTTGAACCAACAATTGTAACAAATAAAGGGAGTGCACCAACTGTTATTCAAGAGGAAAAGCATATTTAATTATTAGGATATTAATAATTATTTGCCACTTACCTGAGAGTCATTAAGCCCCAAAATATGGGATAAAGGATCTTAACAACAACAGAATTGCTAGAAACGACAGGAAGAGCCCACTGATAAATGCCATAATTGAATGGCCCGTGAACATCTAAACATAATGGTTTTCCAACAACTTTTGTTGAGTTACCACCGCAAGGATTTCCTACTGCTTCAGCTGGAAATAGAAATTGGTAACACACCTCCTCTGAGCAAGACAAAGAGAGTTTGCACCTCTCACTTCTGTCACACTGTTGCCGGAGGCATGAGGCTACGCGCTGTATTGCAAGGACATACCAGCATCCTCCAGCAACCTGCACACCAAAATCAAATGCAAAATCAGGAGAGGTTTCTTAAAGTTTGTGTCAGAATAAAAGTTATAGCGAGACTTACATGAGAGGCTATGAAGTAGGCTATGAGATTAAGGCCGAACCCCCACCAAATGGTGCCAAAGATGTAACCTGTGACCTTCTGCATCCTTCTCATCAAGCAAATGCTATGGTAAACCTTTGGGAGGAATTGGAACAAGAAGATTAATAGCAGGATGGTCATTATAAGCTTGATCTGCTCTTCTCTGATTAGTTTGGGTACAATTAACCAAAACACCGCCTGAAAAGGAACATAAGAAGAGGAGTACACGATGAAAAACTTGGAACAGCAGTTCATTTTGTTCTGTTTTACTTAAATCTCAAGTTATGCAGACATAAAACAATTGGATCAGAATAAAATTTAATGGCATCATGTTGGAAACATAATGGAGAACATCAGCTTTCCGAATCTGCAAGTAAGTAAACTACAGTTCTCCATGGAACATCCTGCATGGTATTTATTCAAATTAAGTAATCATATTACAATTAGTTTGTTTAATCGAAAAAATAATGAGGTTATAAATTTAAGGCATATCCCTTTCTACACTGTAAAACAAAATACATGCAAATTGACGGGTAACATGGTCCTGGACAAAACAAATATCCAACAAGAAACATGCAATCTTTTTGGTGATGATGCAACATGATAACCACCCAGCTGCAATGGAAGCAACCGAAGTCATTTTCTACAACCTCCTTGTCAAATAGGGAAAAAGGCCCTAGTGTCAGATCATTATCAGAATTCCGTAATAAAACAAAATGTGAAAAATTATATACAACAAAAAATAAAAAAGAACCCAAAACCACTGTATCTTAGGGTGGGGTTTGTGGCACCCACCTAATATTCTCAAATTTTGGGTCAGATCAAAATTTTGAAACTAATGATCACTCTATTACCCTATGCCTTTTTCCTTCCAATGGTCCAGAAATCATTGCCATCTTTGCATAAAGCAGCCATCATTAAGAAATCTTCAAAACCTCAGCAATGTTAAGGAAAACAAAAAAAATAAATAAATAAATAAAGAAAGAAAGAAAGAAAGAAACTGTGTGTACTTGTTTGCCTAATTCAATGAGAGGAGCAAGAATCCAAAATTGCCAACAGACCCCCTTCTGCATCATCATAATCAATGCACCTATCTTGACAGTTACTAAAAGATGAAAGCATCATTTACACATCAGCCTTCAATCATAATTCATTATAAGCTCGTTTACTTCATTTTTTTTTTATTTAAGTGTGAGGTGTATATTGGCTTGCATGGAAATTTGATGATGCGGCATATCATGATAGAGTAAAAATTGAACAATTAAAAAATAAAATAAAATAAAAATAGGTAAGTACTAACGGACCTGAGGAACTGGGAGAATCACAAAGGCATCAAACCAGAAACCTTTAAGGGAACGAACGTAATGAGAAGCTATGGCACGTGCGTCCCACACTAGTTTGCCGCAACCCACAACGAGTGACTCCCTTGACACGTACGCCAGCCTGAACTGAAGCCATAGATGAAACAAATGCACGGCGTCGACACACGTGCGAAGGACGGTTACAATGGCAGCAAGGCCACCATCCATGTACAAACAAGGAAAGCCACCTCTGCCTATCGATAAAGCATAAAAAAAAAGAGGATCAATAGCTAAGGCCATGCCACGAGCCAGCAGGAACGCGCGGTTCCATCTCTGCACGCGCTTGCTCCTTGGATCAAGCACATGTCCTAACGGGCCAGAAGGGTGCCGAGATGCAGCAGCTTGAGTCTTCTTCTGGCCGGCTCGGGCCTGAATGGGAACAAGGGAAGAGCCTGCTGAGGCTTCCCATTCAGGCTGGTGAGCATTGTCGCAGCTGGTGGAGTGGAAAACTGGTACTCCTACTTGAGTGCAAGCGTAGCATTCTACGGTGTTGGAAATTGGGTTGTCTTCGTTGATGTCGCCGCTGTGATCAGAGTTCTCACCGGGGGAGTTTTGAAGCTGGCCGAGTCCAATCCACCTGTTACAGAATTGGAAAACACCAACTTAGACATTTTTACGTATGTAACAAACGTTTAAATCTCAGGAGATCCTAGCACAACGTTGAAATCGTACTGTTATTTAAAATTTTTTAACTAGGCAAAAAGAAATATTTTTTTTAAATTCCTTTCCTGTTCGTAAATCATTAGTTACATAAAACCATTTTACATGCGTTTCTATTTTCAAGGAAAGGGAAGTAAGTGGAGGAGGGGAAACCTTGAGAGGGAGAAGTTGGACGGAGAAGGCATGGTGAGAAAAGTGGAACCATGGGAGAGAAAGGAGGGCTTGAAGAAGGAAAAGAGGAAGAGAAGAGAAGTATTTTGGGAGTGTGAGAAATGAAAAGAGAGAGACAGAGAGAGAGGTGTAAAGGAATAGGAGAGAAAGAAAGAGAGAATGGGGGAGGGGGGTTAGGAAGTGGCGGATGTGGTGCAGTTATTTGGAGGGATTATAATATACAGGAGGACTGGTCTGTCACGTAGCACATGAAGAGAGAGGGGGAGGGGATGGATGGGGGCGGGCCAGAGATGATGCCAAACCTAGCCACGGAACATGAAGGTGCGAGTCGTGGTAGGGTTTGGTTCCAGTCGAGCCATTGGGTCCACAATGGATCAAATGTGACTCGGATGAGCCATGACCACACCCTTGTCAATGTCAATTAAAGCCTCATTTATACTTACAGACACCCCCAAGAAAAACAACGACTAATAGATTTCTCTCACAACAAACCCACTCACTCGCACGCATTTGCTGCATTTTTCAGCAATTGCTCCCCATACTCAAAATTTTCCCTCTTGTGAATAATTATATGTTGAATGGGGCCAGTGCTGTTAAATCTAAATTTAACATCTTACTGGCTTCCTATAAAGTTGTAGTACGTAGATCACTGCCCTTTCTTTCCATGAAGTAGGCAGGGTTATTATAAGGGAAAAAAGGAAATGACCCTGGTTTTTTTTTTCTTCTTTTCTCTTTTTTTTTTCTGTTATATCTACCAAGTAAATACCTCTTTACCTTGAAGGTTTGACATTTTCTGTCTGCATGTGGTAAATTTTATCCACACTAATAGTTTCAATAGAGTCTTTCCCTAAATTTGATGTTAAATAGATATTATGGGGTAACCATACCGTATTTATAAGAACATTAAATATCAAATAAATAAAAACATGCTAATAGCGTAATTAGTATGAAATTACTTAACAGAATATTAAACCATGCAAAGAAACAGAGAATAGTTGAAAAAGAAAAACTCACTTTTACAAGCCAATAATAATTGACCTGTCTCAATAAAATTCACTCTATATATCAAGAATAAGACAGACAGGGGTAGGTGACTACCTGGGAAATGATCATCATAGTTTAATATAGTCAAAATTATTAGAAAAAAAAAATAAAGATACATCCAGAGAAACATTCGAAAAAAAATTCTCTGTTTTCCTGCTTCTAAGAAGGCCAGTAAGTAAGAATTTGACCATATGAATATATAGCAGCTATTCCCTACCTATCATTTATTGCTGTCCTCAGAGGCAACGCATGTTCAAAATATGGACCCCAACCCCAAAGTCGTGGGCTCCATATTGCAGAGGATTCCTGTTTGAGGTTGAGAATTGCTTAAAGAGTACAAAAATGTTGGGTAAATGACTAGGCCGGCTGTAAATTGACAGGAGAAGGTGGCATCTGTTTTTATACAAAAGTAAATTTTATGTATTATAATTTCTTTCAGCTTCTTTAATTCTTTTGTCTTTTATTTATAATTGGATCATAACATGCTTACATACGATTGAGCTTCACAACAATGTTGTCAATAAACAATAATTAGTTTTAATGAAGAAGAGACAAATATTTGGATGATTTCAATCTCACTTTCTCTTTAGATTTTCTTATATGTACTAGAAATAATAATAATAATAATAAAGAAGATATTGTGCTTGTTTAAGATCAATTAATGTGGTTATTCTTTCACAACTTTCCCTTTGATATACACCTTTTTTCTTCCTAATAAATTATTAAAAAGTAAAAGCAAATGGTAAAAATTAAAATGTTTTTTTAATTAAAATAATTGCCAGATGGCTAAAGCATAGTCATTGCATTTATAATACAAAAATAAAAGCATTGATTTTATCATTCATTTTTTGTAAAAATTGTTTACTTGTATCCAAACCATATTTTTACTTTTTACTTCCGAAAACAAAAAGTCAAGTAAATAATAGGATCCATGCTTTATGCTTTTCAATATTTAATTATCTAAGTCACCACGTTTAACATGAATTGCATTATACAATTATGTTTTTAGAATTTTCATGACAATGTAGATTCACGCATACCTATGTAAAAATGTCGAATTAATGGGCTATTTTGATTTTTTTTTTCAAGAAACTAACAAGGTTGTGGTTCATATTCCTTCTTCTAACATATATATATATATATA